CTGTTTGTTTGTTTTTTTTTAATGTAGTTTTGTTGTTGCTATTTTGAAAGGCTAAGGCTTTATCAAACTTTTAGAAAAGTTTTACAAATGGAAAAGAGGAAGGTTTGTGGAGGTAATATGAAAAATAGAAGAAAAAGAAAAATCATATGAGAAAGCATTAATTTCCTCTACCACATCTCTGGACACTGTCAATCAGGTCAGCATATCAGGAAAATTAATCATCCAGACAAGTAGGTTTCAATATAAGCTGTATTGATATTTATCAACGTTCTTCAAGCAATTCTAATTTAGAGCCAGGACTGAAATCCACTCTTCCAAACAGCCCAGAACAAGAGAGTCTCAAAAAATGTTCAAACATGGCAGAGTCATTAGGCCTGATAAGCCTAAAGGGACCATGTGGCCAAGTGCAAAGGACACCTCAGTAACCTGTGTAAGTATGATTGAGGACTGATCCCCATACTTCAGCACTCCCTTCCTGGACCTACCATCACAAAGATTGTTTAATTCACTTATGGCCCCAAGAACTAGGTAATATATGGGAAAGTACTGAATTTAGTTAAATTGTAAAAAAACAAAAACAATTTAAAAAACCCTATATATCTTGTATACCTGGGTTTGTTGTTGTTGTTGTTAAGTGCCACTGAGTCAGTTCCAACCATAGTGACCCTGCATAGGGTTTCTGAGGTGTGTCAGTTCAAACTGACCTTATGATTGAGTGTTTACCCAATCACTCCACACCAGGACGTTTAAATCCATAATGCTCCTTGAAATTTACCAAGCAATATTAAAATTAATTTCAGGTGCATAAGGACAGCATTGCATTAGTACTATTGTTGCTATTAAGTGCCGTCAAGTTGATTCCGACCCATAGTGACTCTGTATAAGGTTTCCAAGGAGCAGCTCGTGAGCTTGAACTGCCAACCTTACAGTTGAAATGGCTTTGCATTCGGGCGCAATAATCCACAGTGCATTAGTATGGTGGCTGGTGGTTATGTGTCGTGGAGTAGATTCCGACGCATAGCGACCCTGTACAGGGTTTCTGAGGCTGTAAATTTTTATGCGACCACATTAGTATAGAGAAGTTAAAAATAGTTTTTCCAAAAGTTAAAGAACAAGTAAGATAGTTCTTACTTCCTGAAATTTTGCCCCATAATCATGAGCTAATGCTATGGCCAATAATCTTATGATTCTATGTTCTATACAGCTATACTTTTCACTCTTGGATTCTTTGGCTAGCAGGATAACATGCCTCATTTAGACTGAGAAACCCATCCTCCCAAGGCTAATTACTTTTTCTAGTGAGCCACAGAGTAAGACAAATGATTCCACCACAGTCTTTAATCATATATCTTGCTTTTCTTCATGTCTTAAATGATAAATAATTCCTTACAGCATTCCCAATTTTAACAACACAACAGCAACACCAGAATCACACTAGACAGATGCAAAACTAAAGAACTGATAGGAGCATTAATTATTTTGAATTAAAATGAAAACAAACAAGAATAATCAATCTCAATAAAAGATTTAAGTTATTATGGAAAGACATTTACATTTGTAAATGCAAACAAATCATTTACTTTAGAATTTGCATATTATGAATGTTTCTAATCATGTCTTTGATTGATCAACATTCAACTTACTGAAGCCCTGAACATGGTTTGTAGAGCAGAATGATGGTTTGACATTAATATCTAGTCTTGATTTATCTCTGCTTCAATGAATGAGAGTTAATGTATGATCTTTACAGGATAGAACTTCCTTCTCAAATTTGTTGTTGTTGTTAAGTGCCGTTGAGTTAGTTCTGATTCATAGAGACCCTGTATAGGGTTTCTAAGGAGCAGTTGATGAGTATGAACCACCAACCATGTGGTTCAAACCAACCTTTCAGTCCAGTGCTTTATCTCAAAGTACAACATCAAGACTTCATCCCAATTTACCCCACAGTTAAATATATCAGCATCATATGTAGTTCATATTATATTATAATGAGGCTGAAAATGCAATAAATATTTGTTGAACAAATTCAATCTTTTCCTTACAATTACATACTATAAATTAAATGTGCATTTAATTAGACAAAAGCCATATTATTTGAATAGATAAAAGTGAATGTATAAAAGCTAAAAGTGAATATGTAAACATTGATTCATTCATAATAGATTTAAAAGTAATCTAAAGGAGTGGTCTTGTTCCACAAGCATTTATTAGCCCCATCAAATACTGCTGTTAGGCCTCAGATGACCTTATCTGGTAGGAGACCCCAAAAAGATCAACAGGACTCGAATTCGATGCAAAAGCAAGAAGTTTATTTGCCAACGCATTGGGGTCAACCTTCACAAGGACTCCTGAAACTAGGAGATGAAGGCGACCCCTATCTCTTTGTTTCATTACTTTTTATAGGGTTACACAAGGCAGATTTCAGCAACAATGCATAAGAATTTTGCAATTGGTTGAACATATTAACCTTTAAGCTGATTGGTTGGCATAAAGTAAGTATTCTGACCTTTATGTGGATTGTTTCTGGCGGTCAATTTGTCATTTTCTTGTAGGTGTGGGGTATTTCCAATGATGTTTTAGGGCAGCCCAACCTAATTGTTATGACCTTTAGGGGAAATGTCTTTGCTTGTATATTTCCTGGCATCTGGGTTTAGTCATGCTATAAATAAGCGGAGGTCTAGGTGCTTTGGATAATTTTTGAAGCCATGCTAAAGTGTGGTCAAGTAAAGTTTCAATCCTTACACTGCCCCACTATAAACACACTTCTAACCCTGACATCTGGTAGCGTAGCGGTTACGAATAGGGCTGCAAACCTTAAGGTCAGTGGTTTGAAACTACCAGCCGCTCCGCGGGAGAAAGATGAAGCTTTCTACTCCCGTAAGGATTTACACCCTCGGAAACCCTGTACAGCGTCGCCATGGGTCGGAACCGACTCGACGGCACTTAACAACAACAACAACAACCCTGACATCATTATACAAAAATGAGAAGTGAAAAAAAAAAAAAAAAGATAATGATGCATATACTTCAAGACAATCAAATGCATTATTTATGTTTATTTGTTTATTAAAAGAAAAAAAAAAGGTACTAATTTTAGCCTGACCAACTACTTGAATTATTATTTTAAATTTTCATTTACTCTGTATGTCTAGACCTAGTCAGTGACTAAACAACTAAACAAAAAACAAAACACATTCCCTTTAATGTGCAAACCCCAGTTTCCTCATCTGGACCATGTTTCTTCTTGAAGGGATATTAATAGTTTTGTCAACAAAGATTCTTCTGTTTGCTGCTATGTGGAAATTATAGATGATTAAAAAGCATATTACTTTCTATTAATAAAGTATTTTCCTTTGAAAATATAGTTACAAAGAAGTTTTGTGTCTTTTCAAGTTTTTATTGT